TGCTGACCACGACCTTCTGTGCTGTCATTTCCTCCCTTTTCCCTCTTCTCCACACCCCATGGAGTGGATTTTGCTGTGTTTCAGTGTGGAGCTCCATGGGATTGTGATTGAATGTGTGGATGATCATTTCTGGTGCTGATGAAGGCAAAGCTTCCTTAAAGGCTGTTTGCTCCTGCCTGCATCCAGCTGTTCCTTGGGAAGCTGAGCAGGGTGCTGCCACAGAAATCTGTGTGCTCCCTGTTCACATGGATAACAGGCAGAGGGATAACTGGAAACACACAAGGAATGTGCCAGGTGGATTTCTAGGCCAGGCTGAATGGGGCTTGGAGTACCCTGGTCTATGGAAGGTGACCCTGCCCGTGCCAGGGTTGGAATGGGATGAGCTTTAAGGTCCTTCCAACCCAAACCGTCCCAGGATTTTGTGGCTAGAGTAAGTCACCCAAGGAAGACCTTTTTGCTCCCAGTCCAGCTGTTGGGATGAGTCCTAGGAGGTGACAGGGACACCTCAGCTGGTCACAGGGTGAGGCTTTCTGGGGTCAGTGCTGCTGGGGAGGACTCAGGTTCAGGACACTGACACACTACACTTGTCCTCGGGGCTCAGGGTCAGATTCCTTGTGTAAACAGCTTGGGAAAAGTAGTTTGTTCTCTCTTAAAATAACCCCAAAGTTACCAAGTTTCTGGGAGTGTGTTACAAAGTGGCAATTTTCTACTTAAATTCCCACCAGCCACAGCCCAGAGATGTGCAGGGGCTGTGCAGCACCTACAGGCATTGGGAGTCAGGTGGGTGGTGTGGAAATACACCTGGGGGATTTACACAGGGGTGTGAGATTTATACAGATGTGTACAGATGTGTGAAATTTAGGTCTGTGATTTGCACAGGTGTGTACAGGTGTGTGTGATTCATACAGAGTGGGACAGACAGGTGTAGCTCAGGCTCATTCTCAATGACATTTGCTTTTCCTCCCATTGGAATTGAGAAACTTTCCAGATGGATAGAATGTGTCCAGGAGAACTGGACCCTGGAGTGGTTCTCTTGAACACATCTCAGTCCTGGGGCTGTTTAACAAAGGAACAATTCCTCACGTGGAATCCCAGAGTCCCAGAATGGTTTGGGTCAGAAGGACCTCAAAGCTCATCCAGTGCTACCCCCTGCCATGGGCAGGGACACCTTCCACCAGCCCAGGTTGCTCCAAGCCCCATCCAACCTGGCCTGGAACACTCCCAGGGATGGAGCAGCCACAGCTGCTCTGGGCAACCTGTGCCAGTGCCTCAGCACCTCACAGGGAAGGATTTCTCCCCAGTATCCCAGCTGTCCCTCCTCTTTCAGTTTAAAGGTATTTTGGATCTCAGCTGAGTTGGAGTGCAAATACTGAGCTGTTCCCGAGGGATTGTGGGTTCAGACCGGGAGCTGCACCTGGAGAGAAGAACCGATTCAGCAGGGAAAGGTGTTTTGGTTTGTTTTCCTGGGATTTCTGTTCCTGCTGGAACACCAAAGCCCCAGAGCTGATTGTGACAGGTGCAGCTCAGGCTCTGGATTCCTCCTGTGCCACATTCCCATGAGGGACACAATGTGGTTCAACAGCAGCATGAGGTGTTGTCTGGCCAGGAGTTGTCTTGGTGCTGGTATGTTCCATTTGGAATGTGGTTTGTGTCTCCAGCCCTGCAGTTCTCAGTAACTCTTTAGGAATGAGCTTGCAAGATGTGTTAGATTGGGAAATGTTGACTTCCCCGGGTTAAAATTAGCCCCTTTGGTAACAGAACTCCTCTCCCTGTCCCCCAGCACATGTTTCTCAGGGCCTGGGCCTCCTGCCAAGGAATTTCCATCTCTTCCCTCTGTGCTGGGCAGAGCCTGTTCCCATCCCAGTGCTCCTGCAGGGAGCTGAACCCACGTGCTCAGCACCTGTCACTTCCCACTCAGCTCTCCTAGGAAGGTGTTTCAGTAGCTCTGATGTGGTTAAGGACACAGGAGTAGTGTGGAAATACTTCAGAATAAAGATGTTCTCTTAGAATTACTGCAGCAAAGTCACAGCACTATGACAGTTTGCTTTTCCTCCAAGAGACTTCCCCAGAGTTTCTAAACCAGACACAGCTGGCTGGACATGGAGTTGGAATTCCCTGGAGTTTATAAACCAGGTGGGCCATGGCCTGCTATGTGGATAAAGTGTGGGCTCCTTGTCCTCATGACCTCTGTGAAGTCTCCCAAACATCCTAAAGATGTGGAGTGGTTTCCTTCCCTCAGTCCCTCCTGGCCAGGTTGCCCTTCCTCTGGAGCCTGCACCTGGAATCCTTGGTTTCCAGAGGTGCCTGTGGCAGGGACGAGGCAGCGCTCAGCAGGGCTGAGCAGAGCTGGGTGAGATGTGGGTGTAACAAACTCTTAATTAGATGTGAGCTAAAATAATGCTGCTCCAAATTCCAGTCAGCTCCTTGGAATGTGGAAGGGAAGCTGAGTCCCTTGCAGGTGCCAATTAACAGGGTGAGCTGGTGGAGGGACTCACTTGGGTCAGCACATCACAGTGGAACACAGGGCTCTGCCACCCAGGAAATCCTCCGGTGGCCTGTGTGGCACTGGGCACAGGTGCTGTGAGCTGGGAATCCCAAATTCCAGAGTGAGCGGCTTACCTGTTCCCATGTCCTGACAGGAGATTGGGGCTTGTCCAGTGGAACCTCTGGAGCTTCCAGAGCCCAGGCTGGAGCAGTGATGGCCACGTGGAGCCCATCCCCTGGGATTTGGGTGTTAGGACAGGGATACATATTCCCATAGTCCCTTCCCAGGTGGCTGTGGGAAGAAAGGTCAGGAAAAGCAGTTCCTGCTGGAAAAGATGCAGGTGACATGAGCAGGTGGGGTTTGTAGGAAGTGCTGGGGCTTTGGGCCATGGATTGTCCACATGGTTGTGGGCCAGTGGCCAGGAGGAGCAGGAGGGCTGTGGGGATGGAGCTCAGGATCTTGTATGTGCTGAAGGTGGCTCTGAGGCAGAGTTACTGCTGAGACCACTCAGATATGGCTGGTGGAGAACACCCGAGTGATTTGTTCTGTGCAGAGACCTGTGGTGGCTGTTTGCTATGGAAAAGCAGCTGTCCTTGGTCAGAACATGGTTCAGGGGAGGTTTAGATTGGATGCTGGGAACCATTTTTCATGGAAAGGGTTGTCCAGCCCTGGCTCAGCTGCCCAGGGCAGTGCTGGAGTCACATCTCTGGAACTGTCCAAAGCCATGTGGCTGTAGCACTGGGGACATGGTTGGTGCTGAACATGGGGTAGGGCTGGCCTTGAAAGGTCTTGTCCAACCTTAATGATTCCATGAAAACCTGGACAAAACTGGTCTTGTGGCTGGTTGCAGTTGGGATTTTTGCTTTGAGGCGCTGGGCTCCCTGCATCCTCCTCTGCTTCCTGCTGCTTTCACAGCTAACCTTGTGTGCTGGGGGTTGTGTGGCAGCAAGTCCAAGTTCATGCTCACTGTGCTCCACAGTTCCATGGGCAGCCCTTGGGAATGCTTTTCCCAGCACAGGGGAGCAGGTCCCTGGAGAACAGCAGGTCCCTGGGGAGGAAGAGGAGGAGGTACCTGAGGGGAACAGGTCTTTGAAGGGTAGTGGTAAACCAGAGCAGCCTGTGCTGCTTCAAAAAGGTTTCAGCTATGCTCCATCCACCCCTTGGTGATGTTCAGTGTCTGATAATGCAAGAAATTACAATCCAATCCTGTTTTATTGGGTGTTATGTGCCTGTTCGTGACCTGGTGCTGTAACTATTGCCCCACTGCTGGTTGTTTGACCCAAAACTGCCTTTTTCATGGCAAGAACTGGTCCAAACCAGCACGGTGAGCTCCAACCCCCTGAGGTACAGCTCCCATGGCTCTGACCTGTGACTTCCTGGTTTGAGAGCATTTAAAGAGGTTGTAAGTATCTGTAAAAGATTCTTCCTTGCTTTGCAGGATAACTGGGATGATGAAGAGGAAGAGGAGGAGGTAAAGGAGACAGAGGTAAAACAAGGTGAGACTCTGAGGTGGCTCCTGTCTCTGACCAGCACAGACACTGCTGCTGGGGGTGTGAGGAGCCAAAGCTCTGAGCAGGGCTGGGGGGCTTGGTTTAACAAAAGTGTCCTGCACTCTGTTCAGGTCCCAGGGCTGAGCCTGGAGGCTCTGAGTGTTGCTGTGTGGGAGGTAACCCACAGCCCTCCCAGGAGCTGTATCTGTTGTTCCATGTTTTACAGAACCAAAAGTCTCAGAAAAAAAGAAAATAGCAGAAAAAATCAAAGAAAAAGAAAAACTACAGAAGAAAAAGCAAGAGGAGCTTAAAAAAAGGGTAACTAACTCCTAGTTTCTTCTGGGTCACATCAAATACAGCGGGCAGATTTGAGGGGGTTTTGGGGGGTTGAACAAGACCTGCAGAGTCTGATGGACCAGACTTGTACTCAGTCACACTGTACTGTTAGCTTTGATTCCTGTCTCATTTAACCAGAGATTGGAGCTGTTACCTCAGCTCCTCTGTGCAGCACAGGATGGAACACAGGAGTGGGGGAGGAGGTGGCAGGACAGTGTTTGTGCCCATTCCTGGTGCAGTGACCATGGATTAACCCTGTGGCTCTGCTGCACTCCAGGGGACACACGTCAGCTCTTGAGGTCACTGACTGGAGGCAGAAGAGAGAGATTCGGTGGCCCTGGAGGAACCACCATGGCTTAAGTGTAACATTTCCTCCCTGTGTGCATTTCCCCCCAGTTAGAGGCACCAGAGGAACAGAAGGAGCTCACACCAGAAGAACAGTTAGCAGACAAACTACGGCTAAAGAAGCTACAAGAGGAGTCAGACCTTGAGTTGGCCAAGGAAACCTTTGGTGAGTGTGTGCCCAGGGTGGGGTAGGAATGCACCTCTGGGTGACAGGGGGTCAAGGCAGACAATGAACTGCTGCACAGGGTCTGGGAGGCCACAGGGATGATGAAGGGTCTGGAGTGTCTCTGATGAGGAGAGACTGCAGAGCTGGGCCTGGTCAGTCTGGGGCAGAGAGACTGAGAGGGATCCCATCAATCCATACAAATCTCTCCAAGGGGTGTCACTCCTGGTCAGTGGTGCCTAGTGACAGCACAGGGAGTAATGGCCATAACTAAACCACAAGTTCCACCTCACCATGAGGAAGAACTCCTTTCCATGGAGGTGGCAGAGCACTGAGACAGGTGCCCAGGGAGGGTGTGGAGTCTCCCTCTCTGGAGACATCCCAAGCCCACCTGGATGTGTTCTGTGTCACCTGCTCCAGGTGACCCTACCTGGGCAGGGGGTTGGACTGGATGAATCTCCAGAGGTCCCTTCCAGCCCCAGCTGTTCTAGGAATCTGGGACACCCTGCAGGGAGACCTGACCTTGGCTGTCAAAGTACACACAGGTTGTGGTACTGAGAACAAAGCACTAGCAATGGTCCTAATGCACAGCAGCATTCCTCAAATATGGAAGCATTTCCTTGATTACAGTGCATGAATCAGCTCATTACTCAGGGGAAACTGTGCTCTGTGACTGTGTGCAGTGCTTGGGGGGAAGGTGTGCACTGGGTACAGCTGCAGAGAACCAAGAGGAGTTTGCACTTTTTCTGGAGACAGGAATTGCTTATTTAGGGGGAAAGGACTGTGTGTGGTGCAGGTTTTCCAGGGATTGGGAAATGCTCAGTCAGGTTACTGAGTCTGACCCAGCTGGAAACTGATGGACAGACACTGCTTATGGGAGCCTGGAAGGACAGGACACAGGGAATGGCTTCCCACTGCCAGAGGGCAGGGACAGATGGGACATTGGGAAGGAATTGTTCCCTGTGAGGTGCTGAGGTACTGGCACAGGGTGCCCAGAGCAGCTGTGGCTGCTCCATCCCTGGGAGTGTTCCAGGCCAGGTTGGATAGGGCTTGGAGCACCCTGGGCTGGTGGAAGGTGTCCCTGCCCATGGCAGGAGGTGGAACTGAATGAACTTTAAGGTCTTTCCAACCCACACCATTCCAGGAGTCCATGAAATTGCTGAGTTGTGCAGCAGAACACCTCCTGCAGGGCCATGGATTTGGGCCGTTGGCTCTGTGGGTGAGCAGAGCCCTGGGAGGTGGCAGCCAGGTCACTGCTCCCTCTGGGCTCACCCTGCAGGGCTCACAGCCCGTGCTCCCTGTAGCACTGTGTCTCTCTGTGCAGGTGTAAATAGCACTTGTGGAATAGATGCCATGAATCCCTCTTCTAAAGATGACTTCACGGAATTTGGGAAGCTGCTGAAGGAGAAGATCACACAGTACGAGAAGTCGTTGCACTACGCAGGGTTCCTGGAGGCTCTGCTGAGGGACATCTGCATCTCCTGTGAGTCACAGTGCCAGGGCTGGGGCAAACACTGGGACTCAGCTGCCTCACTGATCCCATCCCACTCCCACAGATGCACTGAGGATTGTGCTTTGCACCAGAGCTGCTCTTTCTGCACATCAGAGTCAGTTAAAGCATGACATGTTTTGCTGAGCCAAATCCTGCAGGTTGTTCTTGAAGCCATTTCTAAAATAATAACTATAATAATAATAATCGATTCTCTGACCCAAATAACCTGAGTGGCTCACTTGGAGGGAACTATTATAAACCTGAGTCCCTGTAATTCTGAGACTGCAGATGAATTGTTCTGGAATTCAGCATGGAGCTGCATAGAGAAACTGATCCGAACTCCTTTCCTTTTTCTGCCCTGGTGGCTGAAGCATTGCAGAGCTCACTGAGACCTTGCCCTGCTGTCCCTCAGCAAGGGTAACTCGATCCCAGGGTGCTGGGTGAGTGCAGCTGGGAGATCCCAACTCAGAGGGATTCCCAAGCTCCTCAGGGAGACATTCCCAGCCTCCTGCACCTTTATGGATAATGATAATAACTGATTGTCCAAACTGCTTTTGATACTATTGTCTCCATATTTTCCTCTTCAAAGTGCCTCATTAATATTTTTGTGTTCCCTGACTTAATGTCCAAGCTTTACCTTGTATAACACTCAGGTTTCCCAGGGCCCAGCTGGAATCCTCTGGGATTGTAGGACCAGGATCCCCCAGTCTGCTGCTGGAAATCCAGTCACTGCCCATAGTTCCACAACTGCTGCTGCTGTCCGGGGTTAGAGACCACGGAAAGTATTCAACAGCCTGAGAACAGCACTCAAGGAGTCTTTTTTTGTGCTTTTTATCCCCTGCTGCAGTGGAAGTGGATGATTTGAAAAAGATCACAAACACCCTGACAGTACTATGCAGTGAAAAACAAAAACAAGAGAAGGTAAGACTTGGGCCTGTTCCTCGGGGATCAGCTCCTGCTCGGGGCGCCCCTGGAGAAGGGGGACAGGTGACACTGGCTCAGCTGCTGGCTTTGGGGTGGGCAGGAGCAGGAGAGGGAATGATCCCTTTGGGTACTGCTGTTAAATCCTCTTTGCTGTGTGAGCTGAGCAGGACTTTGTTACAAGGAAGATATTTAAGCACTGGTGATAAAACCACAGTGAACTCCTCAGTTTTGTGAAACTACCTATTTAATTTAACAGGAGATGCTGC